AAAAGTAATCCTATTTTTTAAACTACAGCTTAAAAGCACCTTGTTTCATTTGAAGTAATGGTTGATTCCATCCTTGGCTTTTTTTTTTCTTTTTTTCTTTTTTTTTTTTTTTGGCTATTGCAGTGTGAGAGCTCCTCTTGAACTCAGAAAAGAAAACTGATCTGAGTCACTGAGTCACCGCGTGTGAATTTCCTCTGCTTATAGAGACAATGTTTTCCTTACAAAGCACTTTGCTTTTATATCAAGGGATACAGGACAGGACTTCAGATTTTTACATTCAGAAGCAGCGGTTTATGACGTTGCCAAAGTCAAGCTGCAATAATCATATTCTCCATGGGGTTTTGGCTGTCGCTACAGTCACTTTCTTTCCTTCAAATATGCTCTTCATTGTTCTAGTGCCCTTTTTCCAATTGTTCTACAGCCAAGTTCTTGGAAAGCAATCATGCTTCTTGTTTAGGATTTATTGCTAGCCTTTGCCAATAAGGACATGCACAAATCTCTCCTGTGATCATCCTGCAAAGGCAAGCTAAAAATATAGCAATTTAAGAACAGGCACATTTCACATGTTATATGGCAGCAGGGTGCACTCATCAAAAAATTCTGAGATACAAAAAATAAGGGTGCCCCTTTTCATTAGGCCGATCAAAGGCTATGCTTGGGTGCTATAAATACAAACTTTTTTAGAATGCCAGTCATACCTAAAAAAGGGGAAAAAATGTGCTTGTGCTCTGTTTTAGTGGTTGCAAACTTTTTTTTCCTTTTACCAGATTGCAACCACACTTTGGAAACCCTATGTCTCAGAGAAATAATAGTTTTATCTTCTAAACTGACCATTTTAAAACTAATAGCTACGATAACTAATTTAGCTATTACTAAAACTTTGGGGGGGGGGGGGAAAGGGTCCGTTTTTTTTTAACAGGTTTTTGAAGGATTTTGCAACTCATTACAGTCAAGTTGTATTTGAGTTTTGAAATGTGTTTCACGCTGTCAAAAAAAATTCACATACACAGAAGTGGCACATTACACTAGGGAAGACTATGTCCTTATGGCTAGGAAGCAGTGGATCATGAAAAAGATTATCTAGGAAATCACCATGTCTTAGTGGCCCTTACCTGACCATATTGTTTGTTCTTCATATACATGTCATAACTTAATCATCAGTCTCTGAAAGACTTAGTCTTTTATCACCTTATTGCTTTTGACTGCCAGAGATACAGAGTAATGACTGCATGGATCAGTTTTAAAGCTTCTCTGCGTTAGGGCCGTTCAACCTTATCTGAAATTCTGGGATGCTCAGTCCTTGCTTCCTTCTCAGCCCTCCCACTGCCTCCTTGGTTCTGATTTCGTCCCCCGTCAAACCACCTTAAACCAGGAAACTGAGACGAGACTCATCCCTGAACCCGGATTCACTTTCAGCAGCTTGGCCTATTTCCATTAGTAACGGCTCTGTCACGATTCTGTGGTTAAGATACAATTGCTGAGATTCAGAAACAAGAAGGCTAATGAAAAGATCCAGATAAGTGTTTCACCACTTCATAATTTGGGGGCTCTTACTCAATCTGAAATGACTGCAATTGCAGTCATTTTCCTTTTCTTCTTAGATTCGCAACTCTCTCGTCTTTTCTTCTCTGCTTATTCTCTTCCTCAGGCAACAAGAGACGGTCCCAAATACCTATTTGGTTCCTACCTGATTGCTTTCTCTTTTATAATTACACCACAAGTATTTTCTATTCAGTCCTAAAAAGGCTTGCTAATTCATGCAATGGCATTTTGCATCTAAGAAATGAGAACTGATGATTGAGGAAACAGCATAAATTTATTAGTAATAAGTTATAAATGGACTTATAAATGCAATAAAACTCCCATTTTTAAATTGTTCAGACTGGCAGAGCTTGAGTACAATAAATAGCTTGCATGTGATTTTTGTGTCAAAATACTTCATATTCTGCAAACAGGTGAAGACTTCCTGAAATTTATTCTCTATTTGAAATTACTCAGTGAAATATATTTTTTGTGTGAACTACATTTACTGGTTTTGTTGCTCAGATAAGATTGTTCTTATATCACACAGTATCAGTTAATTCTGGGTGTGGTTCTCGTCGTCATCATCGAGATTCTGATGCAAGTATTTGTGCAGTCAGTTACGAAATGTCTTCTGCTGAAAAATTCACTTTGCATTTGTGGCTGCTTTAGTAAAATTCAGTCACAAAAGAACTTACACAAGGGACCTCAGAAAAACCACTAGCAGGGCCAAAGCAAATGAGTTGCAAAATTTAAACCAATATTTGCTAGAAAATGTTTGTGGTGGTCACTCAGGTCGACTTCTAGGTCCCTTACAAAGGTCCTCCTTGCTGTACCTAATGTTGCAGGCCCACCTAAACTTTCCTGTGACACTAGTTTTAAATTCCTCCCTTCAGTAACACTGTCGGCTTTAGTTCCCCTTGCAATTGTGATAAACCTTCTGCTTACGCTAAAGTCTGCAGAACGGATCCATTATTTTGCTTCTCCTGATGTTAAATATCACATTGCAGGCACTAACAACTATATAATTGTGCTAACATGGTTTTTACTTTTGACTTAACAAGTGGAAATACTTGTACCTGGCTTTGGCTACAAGTTAGCCCAGCTAAATCTATTCACGGAGTTTGCAGGACCAGGAGCAAACTTATTTTTAGATACAACAATCCTTGATATATGAATTTGTTTTTACTCTTGGTCTCCAGTACACTGTCCATCCTCTTCATCCGCAACGACAAGCACTTACATTCATTCCTTTCAAATTTTAGAAATACTTTACTCACAGAAGCTTGCAATGAAGCTTCCTAAAACTTGGAAACATCTATGAGACAGACATAATAATAGTCACGGCTTTGTGATGTCAGGTACTGTACTTTTAAGTTGTTCTCCATTTCAAAAAACTTCAGCCAAAAAAACGGCTCTAAAAATAAGTAAGTGCCAGGCCTCAAAAAATGTCGTTGGAACTTCATGCATAGATAAAATAAAAGTTGGAATATAGTTTGGAGTAAATACTGAAAAAGTGCTGCTGTTTGGATTCTAGCGACAACATTACTGTTACCATTTTGCTGAGGATGGTAGAAAAAGACCATAAAACAGGGAGGCACGTTAAAGCGGAAGTTTCGGAGGGCTCTCTGAAAACGACACACAATAACTGTATGTCTTAAGAGTAATAATTAATACCAGTGCTTTAAAGTAGTCTTAAAGTCTTTTGAAATCTAAAACAGTACTGTTTGGCTGGTAGCAACAGCTGTACCCTGAACAATTTTTTTATAAAAAGACAACAGAAAATAGTAATTCTGCACTGGAAGGCAGAAAGTTATAACCCCCTGATCTGCTCAGTGGAATACCTTTGCCCTTATTATTTATAATGCTTTGCCCCCTTCCTCCACCCCCCCCCCCCCCCCGAGGATGTCAGGACTTTACTCTTTAGCTAAGCCTCACAAGTTCAACACCCCACAAGTTATATAAACATTTTTTTTTACAACTTGAACTATTTCCCATGCAAAAGGATCACTCCAGGGGAGGACTGTTTGAATGATCTCTTTTACAAAACTAATATTGCTTTACTCGGGCTTCCATAGCTTCAGGGGTGACTGAACCCAAAGTGCGCCCATCTGGCCGCCAGCCTCCCTAGCAGCCAGTTCCAGGCACGCCAGAGGACAGCGCAAAAAAAGCCTGGAGGTTTTGCCACAACTAAAAATGCGCAGTCTAGCAAGTGTTTTCACGCCACGGAAGTTTGAACAGAGGCTTTGAAAAAAATATTTTAAACAGTTTAAAAAAAAAAAAAAAGGATTGCAATTCTAGCAGCAAAGCATCGCATCTCGGCAGCGATGCCGCAACCTTAAGACGGGCTTGTTGCGCCCTGCGGGCAGTGCCC